AGTAACAATAAGTTTGTGTAAACACCCCCCCCCCCCACTCTCCCCCACACACACACCCAAAAAAATATGGTCCTTTTTTAAAATTATTAAGAACAGCTGGGTCAAATTTTTTCATTTAAGGTTTAGGAACACATACCAAAATATAGGTTTTCTTTCAACACAACTCAGAAATGGTTTATTATAGTTTGGATTTTGGGAGAGGGGGTGGTGGAAGAAACACATTCAGACTAATTCATTCTGAAAGCAGAACACTGGACTCTCACCAGTCTCTCTGCGCTACAGATGTTCAACACAACAACAGGGAGATGTGATACAGCTCTGCCCACCCTCTGGAGAACAAGAACCTCCTAGTTCCACTTGGTGCTGACACTGGCCTACAGCAGGGCCAGAGCACTCTAGTACTCATATGGGTACAGCCACAAACACCCGAGAACAGCTTTACATTTAAAAAAGGTTTGCCGTAAACATTCCAGAATGCATACTGCTCTCACGGCTCTCAGGACCTCTGACATTGTGCTTCAGGTAGTGTTAGTTATGTCTGAGGCTGTAGTCATACAAAAGTGTGCAGCACTCCAGGTTTAACATTGTACAGTGCCACGTAGCGAATCTTCTTCTTCTGCCCTGAAGTAGGGGTTAACGGTGGGAGGAAATGTGTGCAGCATCCTTAGCTGCTCTCAGATTGTTTGCACAGCTCATGGCAAGGTAATGACAATGAGCGGTACTGGCAAAACAAGCATGCACCAAACGTATTTAAAGTAATCTTAAAACAAAACGACCCACAATTTTATCACAAGATGTAGTCAACTGGAGACACCTGGGCATAGTGTTGTGCCAAGTGAGAAAAAACAGAAGTCCCAGAAGTCCTCTGGCAATTGTATTTTCAAAGCATCATGTCAAAATTACAGCTGCCTACTTCTTAGAAGCAGGGGAGAAAGGAGATAAGAGGACAGGAAAGGAGAAGGGAAGAAACTCCAGTAAATGCAATATTGGCATATTACAAAACCAATTTTCTAACTGCAGAAAAGCAGAAGTGAGTCTATGTGTGACACAGAAGAATGAGATACAGTAGGGCAAAGTGCCAGTCAGGTCACTAATGGCAGTGAATTAGTGATGTACACTGTATCAGCCTAGCAAAACCACTTGCATCTTCTGATAACACAACACGGAGCAGAGCTAAGCTGATACAGGCTGCTACAGCTGAACCACAGAAGCCCTGTTATAGAACTTCATACCACAACACAGCACAGCATACAGTGTTTATATATACTGTACATAAAAAGGAGCTCCTTATTGATAGTCTTCTATTTTTCCTTAAACAGCTTACAAGCTACAAATTCATGGTCCATAACAACGCTAGTAGCGCCTGAACACCTACGGCCTGTGCTCACAGTGTTATACAGCAGTTTCAAAAGAACAACAGCATAATTTCACCCAGCAAGGGCTTTTAGAATTAAACTTCACTAGCACGTATGGTCGAAAAAGAACAGTACATATGATTGTTAGACTCACCAGGCACGTGTTAAGATTTCCTCTTCATTAATCACAATAATTATTTGGTTTGTAAATTATTTTTATAAAAACAACTGTCTGGATCTGTGCAGCAATATTTATCCCAAAGGATCCCACGGTGTTTCACATCTCTTCACATCTAGGAAAACACTTGCTTGGCTGCTGATGTAGGGCAGCAATTCTATTATGTACCAGCAACTCCACCCGCACAGCAGATCAGAGGGAGTTAACTTAATTTGATTGGTGAAGTGAGAAATTACTTCTCCAATCTTAAGGAAGAAATATGGAGAAGCTAGATGGCGCAAGCTCAAAGTGAAATGTAGCAAAGACACCAGGGTAAGCTGCCAAACTCTTCCTAGCAGTGTCCTAGGACCTTCCATGGCCAATCTGCAAGTCATCAGTCATTTCACCCCAACACCTCCTACAGCACACCATGCCCCGTCACCATACGGGGATAGTGGTTAAGGGAAACTAGACATCCACTGAGGTGCACACATTCACAGACAGCTTAGCCTTCTGCTCAAACAGGCAATTTTCAGACGAATTACAACTGCCTTCACAAAGAATTTACCAGGGCACGATGTCTGCATTTGTACTGTTATGTTTCCTTCTATAAAACCAATGCAGGCGTCCAAATCAAACCCAATACGCTGCACACTACAGTACGGCATGTTTATCGCACATCATCGGGCAAATAATTATGTTTTTTTTTAAGTTTTTCAAATATCTTTTTTTTTTCCAGTCAAGATCCTTAATTATCCTTTGGATCGGATAAGCACACTATGACAGATGTCTAACAAAGATGTGGTGCACACATTCAAAGCCAGGAGGCAGGATTGTTGTCAAGAAGAGACTCTGCTGGCTGCAGGCCAGTCTACATCAAACCTCATGGCTAGCTATCATAGGTCCTGCTTATCATTTTTCACGAGGTCATTTAGCTGCTTCGCAGTTATATAATACCAGGTATAGTAATAGAATCTTCTAGTATGATACCTGTATTACCACGATAAATTTTAGAACTGTAGAACAGTTGTCCAGTACGTGTACTTGTTCAGTCAAAAAAAAGATTCAGAGAAAATTCAGAAAACCATACAGCTCTGTGCTTTTAAGCTACAGATGAGTCCTGAAAACCAGACGCCATTTGGTATTAACCAAACAATGAAACAATACCTTTTAAGTTTAAGATAAAAACAGGAAGAGTCTTAACTTCAGTTGCTTTGGAAATAGAAAGGTTTCTCTGCATCAAGGGAAATAACACAGTTCACTGGAAAAACTCTTTTTAAGACATTTTATACTGAACAGATCAAACAAAATTGCTACTGCTGTTCCATCTTTTGAAAACACATACTTTTTATAGACCTTTTCTACTGTCCTTCTTCATACATTATTATTGGGCTTTTGTGACTTCAGAATTATTTTGTGTGAGCAGTTAGCAAAGATCAGCCATACAACATGTTTTTGATTTACAGCTCTAAAGGATGCATTATCCATATTTTTTGGAACATTGCAGTACTGTAAAAAGGATAAACACATGAAGGATAAACAACCCTGTGGAGTAATGTTGCTGAAAACAACATGCCTGTATTGATTAATCAGAATCACAGGTTAACACCTTAAATTGGGAATGTCGTGTACATTAAGATTAAGTGCCTTTAGTTGATCTGTACAAATGTACTGGATTTTAGGGACAGAATAACTCATTTTCAGAAATGACTTCATTAGGCAACGGGATACTTTGTTTGCAGAAATGTTCCCCACTTTTTGTACCACTCTATAGTTCTGGGGTCCTTTATTATTTTAGGTCTATGGTAAGCATACCAAGCCATTATAGCCAAAAACCACACACAAACATCCTTCATAGGCTTGTGTGCAGTCTCTTTTCCATTTTTCATTCCAGAATTTATTTTCTCTAAATCCACCAAGAGTATGCACTCAAACTACATTATCAAAACATAAGCAGACACATAGGGTTGGTGTTAACATAGTAAATTCAAGATCCCTCCAGCCAAGTTAACACTAACCCTAATTTCTTGCAGTCAGTAGGAAATTCTGGCTGTAAAGATATAAAAGTATCACAAAGTCTCAGAGATCAATTTGGAGCACAGAGCAATACTACAGAAGATATTATCTATAGCGTAGTGGTAGCACTAGATAGATACAATATAGAGGAATGAATATATATATATATTTTGCTGTGCTGCTGTGACCTAAATATCCTTCTAATTCCACTTTTTGCACATATAAAGTCAGTTAGTAGCCATGACGCCCTCATGGGTGCCTAATGCCCTGAAAATGTAAGAGCTAATTAATATTCAATCCCACAATTTGCAGCAATTGCAGCCTCTTAGAATATACCCAAAATAGACTGATATGTAAGTAAAACAGATAGTCATTCGAAGACATCATTCTTTTAAGTCTCTACATTGAAAGCAAGGCTGATTAGGATGTATTATTTATCAGAATTATTGTACCTTTTCCATATCTGCAAATAATTAAAAAAAAACCTTTGTGTGCATTTGGTAATATGACCAAAAAATGCCTTCCCTTCACAAATTAGTTAGTGGGAAATTGACACCTGACCAAGAACTGGTATCTGGCCATTGCTGGAAAGCTTGCTAACGTGAACATGTTTCAGTTGCACTCATTTATATTGTTAAAGGTCTCTAAATGTCCATCAAAATCCAACTACTTCACACTGTTGGATAGCTCTCTCCCATACAGCTGTCTAAATATTTCAACAAAATGGTTTCACCCTCTTAGCCAACCCCCTTAGACAACCCTAGGTTGTCTTACAGATCTGCCCCCTTGGGTAAATCAGTTACATTTCAAACACAGGCAGATTTTTAAAATGCTTGGAATTTGATTAGAACATCTGCTGATACAAAACAAAACACCGTGGTAACAAGCAATGAATTCTTCAGCTTTTAAATCAAGTAAAAAGGATACTTTATTTTTAGTTTCGGATAGAGATATTTCACTCAATGTACGCTGTGTGTCTGTTCTTCAGCTTCTGTTCGTTTTTTTTGTTGTTGCATGATGTCCATTTCCCAGACCTGACAGGAAACAGTCTATATGGGAATCCCACTTTGGTTGCACCACCAGGCAAAACAACATGGTGACACTCTTGCTTCCTTTCTGCAGTTTCTATGAGAAACCTTTTGAGACTTCTTTTCAGACATTAGTGTGGCTGGAATATGTTCATTAAGAGGGCAAGTAACAAACCAGAATGAACAGGACAGTATCCCGCAGGACACAATTTAGGTCATGAAAAAAGTGAGAAATCAAAAGTACTTAAAAAGTAATGCATACGGTACACACAGTATGCATTGTTACATAAAGTATGGTCTACAGTAACGTTCTTGTGCCACACTAGATGGCATAGCCAAACCATAACAGTTTTATTTCATGAGAAAGCAGAAACTAGCTGAGGAAAATTACTAGCAATAATAGCTTCCTCTAGAATCCCTCAAATAACTTGTTTTTCAAAAAACTCTGATGTCTCAATGTCTTAGCATGCGTTTCCATGCAAACAGACCGCATCGTTCAAAAATGCAACAGTGCATCTAACTGACTCAGGCTTTCTGTTTGTCTTGCAAGGTCAACGTGACACCTCTCTTGCAGTCTGTGACATTGTGCACCTTAAAAGCACACTGCCACCAGAAGCTTTCTCCTGTACCTGTACATCAATAGAGCCAATGTGACAGTGAACAGTGTGCAGTTGGTTAACGCCTATGATGGAAGTACAGGAGTCTTAAAGGCTAAGTCATAGATGCATTTTCCCCACACAATAATCATAAATTAATCCAAATATTGAGTTAATAGCTCCTTTATATCTGTTAACTAACATTTCCACGTCTGTTTTCATCTTTTAAGAGAGTGCACTTCTCCAAGCTGCCTGCCTGTACAGTAGAAATAGAGAGACCTGCCAGTCTTAAGCCCATAGCAAAGGAATGAGTGTTTTAAAAGCTGCTACGTACAGTAGATAAGTGATTTCTTAAGAGCACTATCTTTCCAGAGTAAATATGTCATGGAGAGCCATAATGGAGACTTCCCTAAACTGCCTTGACACCATGGCCTGCAAAGACAGTTCATAAAGACATGATGATACAAGCTTAGGCCTCTTATTCTAAACTGCAAATGGCCTGAACTTGCCTCTGAATGTTTGTGCCACACTATAAAAACTGCTGGCTCTAAGGCTAACTAAGTTGGTAGCACCTGGCTTTGTTCAATAAAATGATCTAAACTGAGAACTTTTAAAACTTGAAATGCTCACGGTACCAGTATACTCCACTATCAAGCATAAGAAATGCAAAACATACTGTAAGACTTAACACATACCAAGAGTGTAATTTTACACTCTTTCAGAGAGAAGACTACAAGGGTCCTGATTCAAAATCCTCAGAGGCACTTACAGTCAACCCAGTGCACTTCTTTAGAATGAACAGCAAAATATGGCACAAGTGGAAAATAGGTGGCATTTCTTTACACAAAAGGTTGTTGGAGAATGGAACAAGTTACTCAGCCATGTTATTGAAGCCAGAATTCTGGTTTCTTTCAAGAAAAGACTGAATGAGATGCTCTGATCTATTAGTTGCAACTAAAGGAGATGGGTTGAATATCTTAATCTCATTTGTTACCTTTCTTATGTTCTTTTTTAAGTCTTTTTTTAATAGTAATGCTTTGTTCGAAAGTAGCAAACTTTAAGGTATACAATGTATTTTATTATTTGTGTAATCAAATTCGGTGATATAGGGGTGCAAATCAAATGGAGGTCATTTTAAATAAGCAACGTATTTAACAAATTGGAATTTAGATTTCGTTTTTCTTCTGGTTTTTGTATTTCTAACAATAACGGGAAGTTGCATAACAAATGTTTGATGTTAAATAAAATTAAAGTGGTAATTTCTTTATTGAGAGACTTTTCTTGTTATTCTAAAGAAGAGTGTATTAAGTACACGTGGGATTGGGGTACACAAACATTTAGGTATAAAAACTAGTTCATTCAGGGAGTGGCTCTTGACTGAAGATTCTAACTAAATTCAAAATAGAGGAACCAATTTCAGCTGACAAAAAACGGCTCACTGAAACTTTTCTTTACCAAAAACATAAAATCGTCACACGAGCTTTAACTTTTCGTTGAATTAAGTCTATTCAATTAACGGCCTTATGGCCAAATTACATTTTAGTTGTGTAACCTCGGTCGGTAACAAATTGCACAGTGAGGCGTATGCCTGCGAAACCGTTAATGTACCAGCCTAGATTCGCTCAACTACTGACAAAACAAAACTGAAACTCCTCTGCTTAAGAAGCAGCATATGTAATATAACAGTTACTAGACATCTGAACAAGTATCGGTGAAAGACTGTCATCTTGTTGTCTTTTTTAAACAAAAGCATGGAAAATAGGGGAAAAAAGAACTCACCACACATAATCTTGTTTCTGCGAGTACTTCTCCCTATTGGATCCCAGGCTGAATATCTTTACTGAATGTCTAGTTGAGCAGTCACTCCTCTTGCTCTGTGAAGGAAGTGAAGTGTAATATCAGGGGAGGAAGTCAAATACAAAAAAGGCATTGCTCTATGAGGAAGTATATTTGCAAAGTATATATGTATATATGCGTACTTGACATCTATGCAAAACACTGAAAAAAAATCTGGTTTAATTGGCGGATTCTAGATAACACATTACCCTCCGTCTCCTCTCGTTTACTGATGATACAGTGCTACTGTTGCGGATTAAATAACAACTGCATGCTGTGGTGCATATACAGTATATAGACAAATAACATTTACTAAAGGAAAAAAACTCACCATTTATACTTTACAATTTCCAAGTTCTTAGTCAACATTGCAGCGCTTCATTCTATCCTCTTGAAAGCAAAAATTATAATGTCTAGTTACAAAACTTAGAAATACGTATTTTTCATTCATCCACACCCACCGCCCTCTGCGTCAACATTTTCTATTTTACTACAACCTTAACACCTTCATTCGTTCAGCTTTGCAAGCGTTTCGCCGTATTTTGCTACATGGAGAATGATCCAGAAGGATAGTGCCAATTATTTTCACTTATTAATTGTTGTGTCTGTCAAATAAAAAGTCTATCAAGACCGTTATGTAAAGAGATTTTTTGAGTTTCTGACCAAAAATAATGTGAGAAAAGTATCAACTTCGAACTAAAAGCGGCATTTAGTTAGGTGCTAAAAAGCGAAAGTTATTGACATATTTGCGGTTTTTCAAATCAAGTTCATCTAAAGGAAGTGAGTTCATTTACCAGGGATACTATAATTTCAAAGTTTCAGATTAAAAAAAAAAAGAACTAAAAGGCGCAACAGCCTGGCTGTTCTGCCCCGCAGCAGTCCAGGGTTGACACGGATGACAACAGCCTGCAAACTTTAAGAAACCACCCCAGGCTACAGATGGGCATCTGAAAGTACCTTCGGTTAAGTAACCAAGCCTAATACATACATACTGTATGTTTCTGTGAGACCCTTCATCCTTCAAAAGCATGATGCTTTTGTTGCCCTCTGAAAAGGTTTAGATAGTTTTCTAACTGTGGACAGATGCTTTTTCAGTTGTGAAAATGTCTTGCATGGGATAATAATTTGATTTATGTGGTGTTATTAATCATCATCGTCTTAAAGAGGTCAAATCAGTGTGAACCCAAAGCCACATTGTCCAATCTTAGAGCGCCATCTGTTTGTGATTTGTCTCTCCCAGCTTAAATGTACAATTTTATGCAAATTTATTTTAATAAAGAATTAAGCCATTATTTAGAAGAGATAAATGCCCATCTCAACTAGCAGACATATCTCCACATCCAGGTTGATTACTCTGACGTCAACAAAGGCATTGCTTCATTGACTGGGTTATAAATATAAAACTAGACGTTTTTGACTGTGAAGCAACCACTGTGCATAGTGCTGAACAAGTTGGAGAAGTCAAAAATGGCTTCACAAGTTGCATTCATGGGGAACTTTAGTGTGGCCAGACTGTGCAAGCAGAATGAAATTTAGCCAAAACATCTTAAAACACAAGTAATCAGAACCTTGGTTTAATGTCAGTTTAATGTTTAAGGACATTTCTCATCATTCGGTGTCCCCAGGCCCTATACAATGTGTATCTTAGTGATCCAGGAAGAAGAGTGCCACCTACTGGTCCACCAATACCATTTACAACAGCACCTGGTTTTGTAGTAGAACAGGGCTACTCAACCAGTGGCACTTCTAATTCAATCTCTTGCTAAATTGTGTTCCAGCACAGTCTGTAATGATCAATTTGGTAATCATTAAGACTGACAAATCAGTTTGTGCTGGTTGGAGCACAATAAAGCAGACTGAAAGGGCTGCACGTTGAGGAACATTTTCTTAAAGATCTCCTGCCCCAGTACCGACCAGACCCAGTCTTCCCTAACTTATGATATCTGATGAGATCATGCTGAAGGTGTTAAGGCTGGTGTTCATGTAGTAATATACAGTTTAAACATTATTTTCTGGAACCAACATCCTGGGTGCAGTTCTGCTTTAAAACATGGACCAATAATTAGTAATAGGTAAATGCTTGGCAAAATTGTTTGGAAATGAAATATACATTAATATTAACTGTCAAAACCTGATCAACAGAAAAATGCAACACAGTGCTTCAAATATGATGATGTTATCAAAAGAAAAAATCTACATAACAGTTTCACTTCAAATATAGTCTTTCCATACAGTGACTTGCAAAAGTGTTAGCCCATTTCCAACGATGTTCACTTTGTACATGATGTACAACTTTTTAAAAACAATCAAGACTTGAATGTTCTAATTGAACACGAATGGAACAAACTCATCAGCAAAATTCCAAAGAAAAATGCTCAACTAAAACGTGTTTAAGTATTCACTCACTTTGCTATGGCAAACCTATATTAGTATGGGCGCACAAAAATACTTTGAAAATGGCATAGTTGAGTGGCCTCTGTGTTCAACAATATCTCTTTAAGGTCCCTTGGTTTGACAGTGAATTTCAAACAGATTCAACCATGAATCTAATTTATTCTGCAGATTTACTTCTGTTAAAAACAAGTATACAGCAGAGATATACACCACGTATGAAAGTGCTGAACAGTTTGTGCTAGAAAGAGTCCTCACGATGGCGTACTTAAGCTTATTTGAATGCTTTACCAGGCGAAGAGATGTATGATGCGTCATGCGAGATTTAATCTCTGCCACGTTTGATTCCTGACGCAAAGCCAAATGACAGTAAATTCTGTTGCTGCGCCTTTGTTACGCAACCCACTAATCACTACATACTGCTGTGAACGTTATATTGTGTCACCTGTCATCAGAAACAGGAACTGAGTTTTTCTCGTCAATGAATAACCACGCTGTTTAACTGTATTAGGCACCTCTCATTAGTGTTTACTTTTAGAGCTCAACGACAAAAGCATTATACATGCCGATTAATGTAATCTTTATAGAGATCAAATTATTGTATGTCAGAAAACTCCAAAAGTAATCAACAAAGCCTAATAATTACTAGAAAATCTTAAGTACACATTTTTATTTATAACTGGCAATTTAGTAACTTGGGATTTGTAGTAAGCGAAAGCAATCGGTTAGATTAAGTTAATATAATAACCTACAAATTATAAATATAAAATATAACAAATACAGAACAGAAAAATGTTATAGTTAATTATAGTATGTTATAGTTATAGTTAGTTATAGTATGTCAACTAATAACAGCAATTAGTATTAATAAAAACAACACTAATATGCAAGTATGTCCCGAAATAAAGTTAATACATTGTGTGAAGTACTATTATATCGCAATGACCAAATAAGAAAAACAAATTAATTGTGGCAAAACATGGTACAACTGCCCCTGAGTCGCACCCATGGAATCGGAGTATTAGCCGTTATTAACCGCCAAACAGCGACAGCACCTAAAGCGCATCCTGTGACGTATTTCTATTGCGCCGAGTAAAATTTGGCAAGGCAAAGCCGGTAGAGCAGGCTTCCTCCTGTGCGGTAGGTGGCGCTGCGAGAGCCAAGCGCCACTCCAGCCTTCTGCGGTTTCTTGGCGCAGACGGGCACTGAGGTCCTGCCTAGTCGGAGCTGCAGCGGAGCCCCTGCAGGAGTTACAGCAATTCAATTAGGAACTAGAGCGCGTAGCAATTAGAAAGGGAAAAGAAAATTCTCCACCCCCGAGCGGAGGTGGGAATAGTAAGCAGACCATCGGCACAGACAGCAACTTGAATCGGTGTTAGCCGAGGGGCCTTCCAGTATTTGCCAGATTGCGAGCTTTTGCAGGACTGTGGCTATCCGATTTACAGCCGCTGGCTGGGAGGCGCAAGTGTATCTCTTAGCCCGGGGGAAGCGGCCTGTCGCCCAGCTTGACCGGCTTCGCGACTGGATCTCTGAACCCTCGGGAGAATCAGCGGAGGAAATCGCCACCTTCCACGCGTGATTTGTCCCTTTGCAGATGGAGTACAGAAGGAGTTCTGGGAGTCTGTGCGAAGTGAAGACGTGCCTCTGAGTTAGAAAAATCAAAACTCGTCGGACCCGAGGACAGTCAGAAACGCACCCCGTGCGAGGCATCTGAACGGTAAATCTCCTTTTTAAATACGTTGCACGGAGGAACACGCTTGTATCATTAAGGACTTTGAAAGCGAGATCTCCGGGAGGGTGAGACCAAGAGAGACACTTGCACCCCGGAAAACTACCAGAAGGATATTGCTTATATCTCAAATCACCCTGGACCAAACACTTAAGAGCGAGTCTGGATTTTATGTGGTTTATCCGATGAAGCCATATTAAGCACTTGAGGTATGAAATTAAATTACTGCGGGAAAAACGACGGTGTCAATAATATCAGCTAGTATTGTTTCAGTTTAAAACTTAACGTCCTGTTTAAGAATTCTAAGAATGCACAACATTGTGTATACAGGTACTGAAATCCCCCATATTTAGATCATGGATTTGTAGCCAGTTTTATCAGATAAACAGACGAAGTCACTTGAGAGATATGTTTAGTAAACTAGCAAGCTGTCAACAGAAAGGGCCCAGGAGCAGGTAACTTAATACTTGTCGTGACACTGAGTCAAAATTTAAGACGGGGTTCTTTGAGTGTTCCTACAGGCATAAAGGTGTTTGGCAAAGAAACGGGCATTTGCTCTTGCCGAAAGTAAAGTTTTAAGCTTTAGTGGGCAAAATCGAGTAAATCAAACGTGCCATACCTTTCTTCTTTTATGTAATTGTGCTGGCGCACCGATTTAGTAAAACGTAGTATATTGTATTATGTGATGGCCTTAATAGAGGTCATACTAAGTGCATTTTGTACTCTGAATTACCGTAGCTGTAAAAGGTTGAACCGAGTGACTGAACTGTTACAAACTCAAAAAACAGGTTAAATTGAGTGAAAGCACAACAGTCCTTTGTATTGGCAAAATACGTGAACTGAAAGTTTATTCTAAGACTTATCCCTATTGTCTAGAATATCGTATCTTCGTCCTCCGGCGTACGTTAAGGACATTTGAAGATTGCATTATATTTATTTGGGCTTTACAGTACAAAAAAAAAAACATCTCTGGGGTCACCGCGACCTGACTCCAGTGACAGAACAAGGGTTTCAGCTTATTTTTTTTTTTCCTCCTGAAAGTACACAATGGATTTCAGCAAATTAGTGACCCTTTGGATTGTGTTCCTGTGTCTCTTGGGCGAAAGCCGGGCAGAGAAGCCGCAGCCAGCGGGCCAGTCTCATGCAGAACAGCAAGCAGAATACGGAGTCTCAGGTAAGAACAGACGCTCTCCTGTTGTCAGAAGGTACAGGTGCCAAGTGGATTCCCCCCCCAGGGAATGTATGTGCAGATTCAAAGCAACTAATGTGCAGACTACACGTGTTTCCCGGTTGTAGACCTTTTATGTACATGCCTGCACATTGGAGCAACTGCTTTATTTTAGAAGTGCTTTGTATATCCCTGTGATCACTGAACATTCAAATGCATATCTTACAGGGTTTTTAGGTTATTGAAGTACCTTCCTAAATTTGGTTATAAATGGAACTATTTTGTTTGCCTGTGTTACACAGCTCTATAAGTATTTTTAATAACATTTGTTATATCCAGATAAGCCGAATATAGTCAGGATATGAATACAGAGTTATGCAAAGTCATGGGCGTTATCTGGCCAAGGGCTAAAATATTGCTTATGCTTAGAATACTGTTTTGTTATGTTGTTTCTGTATGTAGGGTGGAAGCAAATAAGTGGTTAATTAATAAATTAATTAAATGTATTCTGGTGCACATGAAGAATGCTAAATAAGGCATGTTCTTCTTGCATGGTATCACACAGAAAGCTGCTGGAAAGGCTGAACTCTGGAACTGCAACCTTTTTTGATGACTCTTTTTTATGACAGAAAACCACACAGCTTGACCAATTCTTGTCAGAATCACTTAAGTGAGTCCCAGAGGACACATTGTAAGGATTTATGATCGTCTCACAAATGGCAGGTTGCTGTGATGTGTTTTGGATCCAGCAAAAGAAAGGACTGAGCTAACATTCCTCAAGTGTTTGATATAGACCGCTTTGTTTTATAGGGAATGTTTGTCTCTTTGATTCTCTAGTGCAAAAAGTAACCAGCTCTACTGTAGATATCAAAATAGCAGATATGATTGTCTAAATATCCTTTAGATTGTATGATCAAAACCCTGTATTATATCGGGCAGTAAACATCCAGGCACTGTTTTAATTGTCTTTCCCTTATAACGTAGAATGAGAATAATTAAAAATGTAGCTCCTTTGAAGGTATGCTGTTAGATATAAAAGCAATAACAGCATATCATTTAATTAATAATAACTCAGAAGTATGGTACTGAATTTTTCACATTGAGATATGTTGTAGGAATACTGTGAAGCTAATTTAGCTCTTTAGCGTAAATAACTGCTGCTTGCATTAGTATTGATTGCCTCTTCTGGAAAGAAGTTAAAAAACTCTTGAGTTAAACAGTGGCAAAGTGTGTTTTTCCGTCTTAAATATCTGCTGCCTTCATGCCTTTTTGTTAATCTTATTTTATTTGTTTAAATTTCATGTATTATAGATAGGCAAGTGATTTCTTTTTTTATTCTTTTTCGCACGATTCCACCAGTTAATTCCTGAGTAATGAGTATGAAGAAATTAGTTAGAAGAAAGTTGTAATAAGCCATCTCACTGGTTTATCACATCACCCAAACAACCTGTGCCTGATTTAATGCCTAATTTATCATGGCTGTAGAACCAAAGAATACTTAGAGCAGTTTCATTCCTTAAACATAAACCTACTAACAAGACGACCTTCCTTCCTTTATTACGTTTTACCTGTGTTAAACACAATGCCTGAATATTCAACCGTTATTCAAGATTCTTGTACTTGAAAGTCAGTACTTCTCATCAATGCCACGAGCCTTGACTTTGTATTGAGACAAAACAACCTTGTTCTGATATTTCAGCTGCTATAGGCTGCTGGATTACACCAAGGGAACAGACCTTTGCACCTTTGGAGTGTGTCCGGTCTAGTATAATTTAAAGGATGGAGAGCAAATCCAAGCATAATTCACATTTGTGAAGGTGCCAGGGACCTAATAGCAGATTCCTTTTGTAATAATTTCATAGTTTTTGTTTTCCTTTTGACTCCTGGTTATTTTCCCACTGATTTTTAAATATTTGTACTTGTCTAATTTGCCATTCTAGAGGCTTTTAGTTTCTACCTTGAATGTAACTATTAATTGTCTCAGTGCTCAATTTTACCTGAGGGAAACTGAAGTAAAATTGCCTTTCTGGTCTAATTGCGTGGCTGTACTGTGGGCAGTGATGAGCTTATTCAGTCGAAAATGTCATCTTTAGCTGATGTCAGTGTGTAAGGAATGACTCACCAGATGTAGGATTGCAATATTATATTTCTTTGGCTCGGTTTCATTGTTCCTTCAGTGTTAGAGTAATATGGCAGGGACGAGTCATAGAAGATGAAAGTACTGTCTGAAATGTTTGTATGGACCTTTTTATGGAGATGTTGAATTCACTCAGTGATGCACACATGCATGTTGTGACGTTTTTTAATAAAGAATTTACTTTAAGTTACTGTGGACTGACACTGTCTTTGAGATGAAGCTGTCCCTAAGTAATGTTGATAAGGGACAGTCACACAAGAAAAAGGCCCTAGTGAAGGTGGAATTTCCCACAATTATCAGCAAGCACAGTGGTGTTTTAAAAACAAAATTACACCCATCATTGTGCGCAGGAAACACAATTTCAAAGGCTTAACCTTTAGTCTGGAAAACAAAAACAAGCAATATAGTTAGAAAAATGCAAGCATTAAAAAAGACTTTGGTTTAACCTTTCCTACCAAGAAGTAATAAAGGAAGCTAGAGACTACTTCTGGGTTTAACTTATAAGTATATCCAGCTGGGGAAAAACTGAGATGAAATTGCAGCAACAGTACCAGTCCTCAAGAAGGACTCCCCCATAAATGAACAACAACACTCCACTGTGCTCGTTCGTAATTGTGGGAAAATCTGCCTTCACTAGAGGCACAAGCATCTTATTGTGTGCCTGCTCCTTATCACCATCATTTACGGACAGCTTCATTAAATTATTATACAGTATACAAATTTGGTCAGTGTGCCTGCTTCATGTTCAGTTGTAAAGCAAATAAACTGTTTGAGAAGAAATCAATTGATAGTGGACTACACAATAGAAGTTGCAACACAGGGGATCTCATTAAGTTGTTTTCTACATGTTTCACTGGAAGTGTGGATATGCTGAGTGACGATGGGGTTAGGGATAAGCTGTCAATGAGAGCCTATATTGGGGAAAAATTCCCCATTTCTAGCAGATGGTATTGAAAAACAAAGCAGAATATTGTACATATTGTGTCTTTTAGTTTCTTCTGACCTAGTTAGTAGTAGAAAATGACAAATTTTATAATATGATGCATGCGTACTTTTTTCTATTGGCAGTTTTATTCCTATTCCTGTGAGGCAATAATTGTGTTTGTGTCATCGTGTTATAGAAATCCTCTGATTTTGGTAAAAAAACACATTTTTCAGGCCAAGCAAGTATGACAGAGCCCTCTATAGAATTCCTTTTTACAGAAGTAGGCCTGGGTCAATAAGTGAATTTTTTGCATTGTGCAGTAGGAAGTAAGTAGAACCTTGTTGTATTTGTTATTGTACAGAGGGGAAAGCAGCTGTAAGAACTTAATTCAAAATGAAATACAGTATTATAAAATTGTACAGCCTATTGAAATCAGAATTGGATTGTTTTTAAAAAGAAAGGAACAGTGTTTCAATTGATTCCAGCTTATTTTCTGAGATTTTGCACAGACTGCTAGAAATGCATTTTTCAGCTGTAATCAAAGCTTCTAAATTGACATAGATTTCTGGCAATCATTCAGTTTTAGACAATGGAAAGGATACATGGCAAAGTATTGAGGGGAGGGTGTGGTAGATCTCATGACCTGGATCTTTTGATGCAAATACCTGTTCTTAGCTATTGGCTAAAAAAATGTTCCCAGGTGCTTTTTTCAAGTGCAACAGTTCTTCTGATTACAAGAGATGAGTCGTTTTTATTAATTTCTTGAGGAAAATGTCTTTAAATTGTTAAAAAGTGGATATATGAGTGCTAGGTGTGTGAGAGTACACTGTTGATTGTGTTTCAGGACTGTGAAATAAACCCTGACTTCCTCAGCTTTTGAAGGATGTGCCTTTGAAAGTGCTGTTGTCTTGTCTAGGATCAGTTATTTTATACAACAAAGAACATCAGTATTGTTCCAATAATCTTTTGTCTTGCAAACAGAGCAGCTTTTGAGAGCATACGTCGTGTATAGGTATTGAAATGTAAGCTGTGACTTGAAGCATTTCATTTCAAAGAATTTCATTGCTGACAACACCACTGTACGCTGTACTGTTCATGCATCGATAAATAAACCTTGACTGTAGTATATGTAATCATCTAAAATTGTGACTTTCGAATGTGTATGTATAGAATTGTAGTTTGAGCTGTATTGAGAGTTATTACTTTGCCTAGCAAATGAATGTTGCCTAAAGTACAATGGAGGTTAATAAGAAGACATACAGTAAAATGTTTGTACTTCCACTAATTAGGCATCTTTGCATGTGGTGTTGCTTATGGATCTGAGTAAAGGATAAGCTAGTATTGCCATCACATTGGAGCTGCCAGACTGATGGTAGTGCTACTGTCTTCTTGGTTGGGAAACACAAATCCTTGTCTGCAGGTTACTTGAGGCTAAAGCAGTGGTCAAGGTTTATATGCCTACCAAAATCAAATTATTTTAGATGAATAGTTTTTTTATTATATGTATAACATATACACGTTGGTGTTTATTTTTAAGCTTGCAGTGTGCAAGCATTTTATATACTTTTTAATTGTATTTATTTTAAACGATGACTTGCTAGATTGATCCGAAACACTGGAGATCCAAGAAACTGGTGTTGAGTAACATTGGCTGACACGATGTGGTGCAGAATTTGAATTCTGTAGTATTGGATTTCCATTTCTAAGTTTCACAACTGGATTTATAACTTGGTGAAGATTTCTGGGCAACGGTTAAGGGCTTTGAACAATTCGTGACAATAGTGGTTTAACATAACATCACTTTATCAGCCCTATACAATTTCTTGCATTAGGAATTAATCTTTTCTCATACCCCAGCTTGCTCTTAAGGGCCTTGCTCAGTGGCCCAACAGAGTAGGATTCCTCTGCCGGCTGTGGGATTTGAACCTTCCAGCCACAGGCGCA